GTTTTAAATACAAGATGAACAGATTAAAAGCCAGAACTTCAGGATCTTTTACTCTAACAGTAACTTTCTATTTCTATAACATAACATTACAAAATCATGCACTTTACCAAAAGGGAGCTTCCTGTGAGGTCAACAACTCTTGTAACCTTAATGGCTAATTAGTAGACTTAAAGAGCTCTCAGTATTCTCTGGAACCTCACAGTTGTATGATTGGTTGGGACCAGAATCTGAAGGGACATTCATAGAAAGAGATTCTAAATCAGGAGCCTCTCCCAAAAACTTATCTGCTTTTTCATCTAAATCTTCGAAAATTTCACCAATCGCTGTAGTATTAAAGTCTGTAGGTTCCCCAAGTAATCGTTCTTCATCTTCTTCTGTTAGTTCTTCAGCCATTTTAACATCCTCAGTACCAGAGTCAGCAGCTTTTGTAGTAGCAGCTAAATTCAAATTGGCAGCCCTCTCCTCAGCTTGTCTCGTGTCTGACTCAGGTGTTGGCAGAGGTTGTGATCCTGCTGAAAGTTTCCTTCGCTTTGCTGCACTGACAGAAGTGGGCTCACACTCATACCACTGATCACATTTTCCAGATAGATACCTGAGAATGACAAGACAGCCAGATTTCAGCACAGTTTAGTTACTCTCGAGAGGGAATAATAGTTCTTTCTGAACTCTTATTAGCTGTAAGCTTTGTTGCAACAAGTTTAATTTGAAATATGTTAGTTAGCATTTTCACCATTTAAAAAAAAAGGTTTTAAGCTACAATTTTAACATTTTTAGAAATGGTAAAAGACTTGACATTTAAGGACACATTGGCCGAACAGACAGGCAGATATTTATGATAAATGAAGAAAACAAGGAAGAACAAAATAAAGCAGCATCTAGTAATGTGTTGACCTCTTAGTCTTAAGAAACTTGTCGGTTCAAAATACAGTAGAGTCCACTTATAACGAGTTTTGCAATAACGAGAAGTCTGTTATAAAGACATTATTCTAAAACCCCGTTTTTCCCCTTCTTTATCTTTGTAAACAAAATACTGCTATAGCGCAATCAGATAAACGCACGAGTCGGTTATAGCGGAATATTCATGCTGCTGCTGTGCACAGCGTATAGGCCATTTATATCATGACAATGTAAAACCTCGCCAGTTGTTGGTGATCTAGCGAAGCAGAGAATGGGAGAGCCCACGTGGGCCAACAATGAAGGCCAGAGCGAATCAGTGGGGAGGGTGTGACATGCGCAGACAAGCCATTGTGAAGCAGAACGCATAGCCTGATAGTGATAGGCCAGCCTAGTCTAGATTATCTAGGACTATCATGCCTCTCACATCTCCGATGCGGGGATGGAGAGGTCACAGTGCTGAGATGGATCAGGGAGTGAATGTGTGACGTGTGCAAGCAGACGCAAGAACGCACCACACGGTGTGGTGGGGTGGGGGAAAAACACAGCGGGCGATTTAGCCTAGAGAACTGATCGCCAACGCCGAGCTGTCAACATCGCTAATGCTAGAGAAAGAAACCTGATTCGATTTTTGATCAAGTAAGACTAAGAGGTCATGTTGAGCAACACCATCATCAGGGGAGATAACAAAAAGAAATAAACAGAACACCAAACTCATAGTTTAGGCCTGCTTTTTTACTTCCTTTGAATTTATTACTGGATCCCTTTTAACGAGGATCCTGCTATAACGGACATTTCGAACCGGTCCCCTCCCTCTCGTTATAACAGGGTTCCACTGTATCAATCAGTAAAAAAAAAAAAAAAAAAGGCTTTGACCTTGTCATGATTCAATCAATAGCTAAGAATTGAACAAATTACCTAAAAAAAACTTAGGATCTAATAGCTGATCATTAGAGTCAGAGATCACATTTTTTAAACCAGAATTTTATTCTCTGTAAAAAATCAAAGAGCCTACTAGCAATTCTGCGGAACTTTATAAATAATGAAAAGTTACACATCTCCCTTGAGGATATTGAATAAATACAACCGCTTTTGGTCTGATAATGTCAGTTGCAAACATTATTTTTCCACCAGTAAGTGAAGGAGCCACACACCATGGTACCCCCCCCCCCACCCCTCCCCCAAGGATGTTTACATACAAACAAAAAAGTATGCCAAAACCAGGTGATGACGTAAAGGAAGCCTTCTGCAACATTTTTATGCGACAGAAAAAGAATCAAAGCTCAGGAGAGAAAAAAGCAGCAAAGGAAACTGACTTTTGCAAAGGAAGAAATAGCAAGGTTTCCCAAATAATAATCAAGGATGCAACTGGGATATTGTGAAACTATCTGAATATTTACGAAGTTCCATATTGCAAACAAAAAGAAAAAGACAATTAATAGACACAACTAATAAGGGGTTAAACAGAAAATGAATGCTTAGATTATTATAACAGTTCTTCTCATAAAAATAGTGGAAATAACATAATCATAGTCATAAGCACACTCAAAAAAAAACAAATAAGCATCTACTTACTCTTTAATGTCTTGAGACTGAATATCAGCACACAGACATCCAATCCTCTTGACATCTTCCCAAGTCCATTTCGGCTTTCCCAGACGTGGACAAGACAAATTTTTTCGTTGAAGTACAACAAATGGTGTGCGCTCATATATATACAATGTTCCAATAGCATTTTCACAGCCTTTGTTTTTACAGTGCACTGATGCAATAGAACGAAGTTGAACATATTCTTTTGGAGCCTTATATTTTACTATAATATTGTCAAGAATGTCTCTGAAACAAAAAAAAAGCAAAAATGAAAACAACAACAATAAATGAATAAATAAAACATGAAGAGAAGCAGATGGGAATAAAGCTCAGAAGAAATGGATTTTAAAAAGTAGAAAAAGAATGGGAGGGGGGGGGGGAGAAAAGAAAAGCAAAAACTGAAGGCCAGAAATATTATTACATCAAGTTTTCCTTTACCTCAGTTCAATTTCATGCCTACAACCAATGATAGTTATTCACTATCTTTGCTACAACTCTGCCAAGAACAACAACCTGTGTAAAAATAAATTATCAGGTTTTCTCCCGGCAACAAATTAGGTGTGTCGAAAGTATCACTTCAAAAGGATAATATCTCTGTGTAGCCTGCATGAGACGAATAATGCATACACGAAATCCCCCCTGCACGATATACGGAATGTGTTAAATTTTTTAGGTTATAACGTGCAAGGCACACATTGCTCCTAAAGGCAAAGATATAGAGACATCAGAGAGGCCAAATGCTATGAAATTCAATGCCAAATGCACATATATAAAAATTCCTTTTTGAATAAAATTTGATACAGATAAGGGTCCCTGTAATTTCTTTATGTTAAAAAATTACTTACATGCAGCATGATTCAAATTTTATCATTGGAGCTTGGTGCGGAGAGTACACATCAAGAAAGTATTAAGTGATATTACCAAAAAAAATGTCATTTATATTCAATCATTAGTCATACTACCACCTATCATGCCTACAACTATACCAACTTACCCGTTTACAACAGCTCTGTGATGTTTGGAAATAATCCGGAGATCACAGCTCTCGACTGCCAGTCGATGGCACCTTTTGCATTCCTGAAACACCAAACCAAGCCAAAAACTATTATTGCACAGATGCATTATTTATAAGACTCTCTCTTCGCTGATGATCTTGCTCTCTGGCAGACACATCACAGCTCGGTAGTAGGAGCAGGGAAATTAAATGAAGACCTCAAGAGGCTCCACAATTACTGTCAGAAATGGAAACTTAAAATGAACTGCACAAAAAACAGTATACACCATCTTTACGAAGAGCAATAAAGCAGCCAAAGAAAATCTCCAAATAAAGATAGGAAAGGAAAGTCTCCCCAAAGAAGAACATTCAACTTACCTAGGAGTCAAACTTGACCATAGTCTAACCATGAAATGCAAAGTGGAAAACATAAGGAACAAGGCAAAAAAAAAGACTCCAACTTTTAAACAAACTCGCAAGCAGTTCATGGGGATCAGACAAACAAACTCTGAGAGCTCTAACCTTGGTTATGTCCGATCTTCCCTGAAATACAGCAATAGCCTACTCACTATGTGCAGTGCAACTACATGTACTTGCAACACCCGTGACAAGGTCCAAAACAAAGACCTGTAGCATGAATAGAAACACACACATATAAGTCATTGCAGGACGAGACATAACTTTCATACATTCCACCCTAACAGCTTGGACACTTTCACTGAACTGTTACTCATGAACTCAAGTGCAACGTACTACACATAACAACAACACACCTTAACAATTTGGTCTTAGAGTTAGTCGCCACAGCCCTTCGTTTTATAAATGGGGCATGAGATCCACACCTACCGCGCATGTGAAATGCTTTCAAATGTTGAACCCCTGGGAATCGGCAGAGATAAAGCAGTTTTGTAGCTACACGAAAGAACTAAAAGAATGTGATCCAATCACCCAAACAGGAAACTAGTAGAAACGTGGAAACCAAAGAAACGTATTCAAGAAAAGTCAACTATGCATCACATCACAGAACAAATGGAGAGTCACCATCTACCACAAAACAGAAAAGAAACCAAAAAGAGTCAAGCAAAATATCCCTCCCCACCTTTCTTTAAAAAAGCCAATCATTACAACATCTGTCAAAGACAATAGCACAAAACCTTCAGACCCAGAGACGCTGAAGCTTGCATGACATCAAACAATCGACAGCTATTGAGGTGACTGATACACATCTATACGGACAGCTCAGCATTCAAAGGCACAACCAAAGGCGGATACAGAATACTAATACAGTACCCAGATGGAAGTTCCAGTGAGATCTCTGCAGCCTGTGGAGAGAAATGCGGCAACTACGATGCAGAAATGATGGCAACTGAAACAGCACTGTACCATCTCCGCACAGTTTTTGACACTCATCTTGGAAAAGTACACAGTATCGTGATTTTCACTGACTCACTATCAGTCTTACAAGCCATAGAAAATTACCATCATCTAAACCAAGATTGACTCATATACTGTTTGGCTCCAATCATCTGATAACATTCTGTGGCATCAACCTGGTAATGCAGTGGGTCCCCAGACACTCAAACATACCTGGAAATGAAAGAGCAGACACACTTGCCAAACGGGATCTAGACAGGAACAGCCCAACAATCCAACTTCATACAACACTGCAAAACAAATCATTAAAAGCAACAACAAACAATATTGGATGAACAGATGGGCCCTAGGAAAGACAGGTAGAGCCAGGCGCGGTTCGTTCACTGGGCAAGACCGGCGGCGCCGGTCAGTTTTTGTCGGCTGTACAGTGGGCAAGAGATTGATTGTTGACGATAATTGTTATTTAGTTTGAAGTACGTAAATACACATTAATATCTAATTAACGTTCAGAAAACACTCGGCCGATTTGAAGGCGCTCTAGGAAACAATAGTGGTTCTTTGGTGTGTTGTCGCACTACAAAGAGCTTTTCCTTCATCTTTTGTTTATCACGCCGGCTTGTATGTTAAATAGCCCATCCACGGCTTACTAGATAATTTTAGCAAGCCCTGCGCCCATCACAATGTTAAACTTGTCTGCGCGAGGCCGCGAGACGCGAGACATTTCTGAACAGCGCCCGCGCGGCGGAGACGTCAGCCTCTGGGCGAAATTTACTTTTGCCCACAGAGAACCAAAGAGACGGCTTCAAATTGCCATTTGGCCTCTCTGTTACTTACAAAGGAAGGACACGCCTGCAGTACAAATACATATTATATTACATAATTTATTCAGTTACATTCATCATTCAACCTGTCTCTTATTACTGCTTGTACATCAATTTTTAGCATAATTATTTCTATTGCGTTTTAAGCCACCCATGGTTCTGTTTTGTGTTCTTATCCTCACCTACTTCCCCGAGTTCCCTTACTTGGCCAGGACCCTGGGCCAGCGATCCTTCGTTCCGGCCAGTCATGTTATAGAGGGAATTTTAACGAGGAGAGAGCAGCGCCCCACGTTCGGCTGTCAGGGTCTGGGCCTAAAACAATACACCCTCCTCCTCCCCCGCCCTTTTTCCCTTTCCCCTTTTTCCCCTTTCCCCCTTTCCACCTTCACCCCAGCTAGACTCTAATTTCTAAAATTAGCATTTGACACAGTTCTCTTAGAGCAGTGAACTGAGAGCAGAGAAAAGCAAAGAAGAGAAGAACCTTTGAATCGGACCGGAAATTATGGGTAATTTGTTCAATGTGTACGTGATTGGGAGTCTAGTACAGTGTACAGTATCTGATTCTAAGTTTTATATTTTTACATAGCGAGTGCACGTCGAGACTTTGCGTGAGTGTGTGTGAAAAGTAGGTCTTTGGGTGATGTACAGGGGGCAGGGCTAAAAAGTGGTTGCTTCTAACTTTCAGTTTGTTTTCTAGTATACCGTAGAAGTACATTGCATTTCTTGTTCCGTGTCGATCAAGTCAGATCTATCCGTATTTTATTGGCCTCAAGTTCAGTCTATGTCTTGAAGCTCAGATTTACATTTTGAAGTTTGTAACGCCATGGATTTTCTTCTACTACGAGTCGTAAACCCTTTTTATATATTAACCCCCCCCCCCCTCTCTCTCTCTCTCTCTCTCTCTCTCTCTCTCTCTCTCTCTCTCTCTCTCTCTCTCACCTACCCATCCAACCCCCCTACACGCACAAAATACCTAAAGTGTACTGGTAATTATACAATTGACCGTCTGTCTGTCCGTCCGCCTGTCTGTCTGTCTGTCTGTCTGTCTGTCTGTCTGTCTGTCTGTCTGTCTGTCTGTCTGTCTGTCTGTCTGTCTGTCTGTCTGTCTGTCCGTCCGTCTGTCTGTATGTCGGCCTGTCTGTGTGTTGTAGGGGTGAAGTTCTGAGGGCAGGGGGGGGGGGGAGAAAGGGATGTATCGATGGGAACTACAGCCGGTCAGTTCGACAAACCACCAGCAGCCCCTGGGTAGAGCAGTTTTCAATGAAACATATGACTACAATAAAAAGAAATGACAATATCAACCACATACAGAGAAAGAAACAGACCACGATCTTTCGCCTACGAACAGAACATAGACAGCTCAACTTCCAACAGAACAGAATAAACCCGGAACTTCCCCCAAAGTGTCCCTTGTGTGACTATGCATATGGGACTGTGGATCATCACCTGTTCCACTGCACAGCCCTAAATGACATCAGAGCTACCCTTCTCCCTCCGAGACCTAACACTGACAACACACTCTATGGAACATTACAGCAACTGCAGCAAACCTGCACTTATCACTACATGGCATTGGACAGAAGGGCGAGAACCCAGCTGTTGCTGGATCGATAGCAACAAGAACAACAACAACAACAACAACAATAAGGGTATATTTAATATTTCATATATGGCAACTTCAAATGACCATGAAGATGTCAACACTGCTCTTCATTTAACATAATCGAGACAAAACTTTTTAAAATTCTTCTAACTGTAATACTCTATCTCACCTACACCATAAAATGAAATTTAAAAACTATTGAGATAGGAAGTAGTATTTTTAATCATATGAGATCAAAGTAAAAGAGTACTCTTCCTTTTTTACTTTAAACTGTGGTGGTTGAAAATGTAAAAGCCCTGGTAGGGGGAATGTAGAGGAGGATAAGGACAACGAATGAAGCAGAGAAAAGGAAAAGAAGAAAATATAACAAATCAGGAGGAGGAAGGGGAGAAGGAGAAAGGGAAAAAAGAACAGACAAATAAAATGAAAAGAAAGAGAAAAAAGACAAGGAAAAAATGCAGAGTAGAAAGTGACTTACGAACTCCAGAACTGTCTGGTTGAGCTGAGTTGAGGGGCGTGCAGTTGTCAAAGCCAGATTACTTTGCATGTACTGCTCAACTCTCTCCTGAAAGTCTTTGCCTTTGTTCTGTATGGTCTTTAGGGCGCTATTCACCAAGCCAGCCTTTACTCTGTTCAAGTAATCCCGAGGCTTGTCTTTAGGCATAGCCATCAACACTGACACTCCATCAGCCTGTCGGCAGCGTCCTGCAAAATTTTTAAAATAAAAATAAAAAAAACAATCTTACACGACTTATCGCATCTTGAAGAGCTAAATAAATTTCATGCTTCCTTATATATTTGAAAACACAAGCGACTGCGAAATCCACACCAACATAGAACCACTGGACCTCAGAAGAAAGAGTGCTACACTCAAAACCTACAAAAGAAAAGAGGAAAATGGCAGATGAGTGGAAACCAAGAACATGCATCCAGAAGACCTCCTTCATGCGAGAAGCAACAAAACTACCTGAGGAGTTTGACCCACCCGAGAACAGAAAACCAATCACCAACATCAGCAGCGAACCTCCATATTGGCAGGCACAGAAATCACAATAAGGACGAGACTTCTAGACCCTTCTTGTGACAAAACCACACCAGAAGATATCCTCAGAACTAGTGCCCTGGAGACAGTGGACTCGTATACTGAAACTCCAATTCATGCAGTCACAGATGGGTCAGAAACAAACGCTACATGGAATGCTGGATACGGATCGATCATCAAATATCAAAACAACCTTGGAGAGAAGAAACAGACCCAACTATTTGGCCTATGTGGAACATACAGCTCCAACTATGACGATGAGAGATCTGCCATAGTAAAGACCCTAGAGCAGACCACCCAAGACTTTTTTGAAGGTGCAATAACACCACATGATGTTTTTTTTGTCTTCTCTGACTCAATGTCAGTACTCCAAGCCGTCGAGGGAGGAGGAGACTACATAGGTGACAGGAACATTCTCACCCTTGTTAAACAGATGGGTACTTCCTATGGCGTCTGGGTCACACTGCAGTGGGTGCCTGGCCACTCTGGAGTACCAGGGAATGAGACTGCAGACCAGCTCCCAAAGACTGAAGCAAGCGTGCCCCAGACAGACACAGCCGCCTCTTTACAGACCTGCAGAGGGACCATCCAAGCCAAAAGCAGAGACGAGTGGCTAAACAGATGGGCCAACGCAGAAACAGGAAGATCTCTCTTCGTGTACATGGACAAACTTAACCCCAAAGACCCTTCGAGTCTCTTATGTAGAGCCGATCAGACATTGATTTTCAGAGCCCGCATAGGACACTTACACACCAACAAGCACATAAACAGAATTAACCCCATGTGGGAACCCCATTGCAGACACTGTGACCACCACGAGGAGACCGTTGAACATCTTCTCCTTCACGGTCCAAACCTTGCAGTTGCAGTTCTTTGACGCAGGCTCTTACATACACCTACAGACTTCTGCTCTACTTTGGTGTTGACCAGATGACAAGGACATGTGGTTTCTTGAGAGAAGCATTGCGCTGCCAAGAGCAAAATGTTCGCAGCTAAAAGGATTTGAAAACAACAACATTTTAAATCCTTCATATTTACACCAAAGACTTCTTGAACCCCCCTCGTATTATAACGATCTCCAACCAATTTTCTACCAATTAATGGTCATATTCACGTTTATATTAGGCTTGCAGAAAAAATACGGAAAAATTGTGACACATACTCCCTGTTTCTTATCAAGCAACAACTTCGAGGGTGTGTCAACTTTATCGCTGCGCTGTGCGATCCCAAAAAGGAAATGGGAGTTGTACATATAACAGGACATCACTCTACATGATCTTGCAACCGTGCGAGAGAAGTTACATATCCATGTTGTGTTTCTAGTACCAGATACAGACAGGGGCTGCGGTGACAGGATGGCCACACTTTAGCGTTTATACGCTACATCCCAAGAGCAAAGTTTGAGACTCCTTCTTTCCTATCAAACATCTGTCGTCCTTATCTCTCCCCACCCCCCTTCTTTTTTGTGTATGTTACTCTCTTGTAACACATTAGCTATTCTTCGGCCCTTACATGACCTTATTGTGTTGCAAGTGCCGTAAAACTCTTACTAAAACTTAAGTTTGAGCATTGGAAAAGTAAGCAACAGGCGGAGAGAAAAGACAGAAATTTTCAATACCCATTTTCTGAATCCTTGACACTTCATTTCCCAAATGATTGTACATAATGACCAAATTGCAGCTGGGAATATCCAGTCCTTCTTCTGCCACAGTTGTAGCTACCAGCACCTTCACTTCTCCTTCAAGAAAATCCTGGAGCAGCTTTTCTTGCCGCCTCTGTGCTTTGACTGAAAAAAAAAGAAAAAAGTACCTTAACTGAAAGAATATTTCAAATACAGTAGAGTCTGCTTAAACTGAAATCTATGAGACTGTCAGATTTTCTTTGAATTAGTCAGACTTTTGGTGTAGAGGATGCTCAAATATAAAATGAAAAAGAATAGGGGATTTCATTTTCTTTCGATTTTCCCCTGTTTTTGGAATAACCAAGTTCAGGTTACTTAATCATCTAATAATCTTTGTATTCATGGCCTTTAATGCATCATTATCAGAATATCAATGGGTTACAATCAGAATACTGATTATGTATCAAGCTGAAGACCATTATTGTAAACAATTATTCATATTATGCATGTGACTAAGAGTCTGTTTTTAAATGCAAGCATACTATTATATTATTATGTTTATGCGTAGAGATGTGTGTGAAGAAGAGGATGTGAGAGAGAATGTGTGTATACGGGTGTACACACGCACGTGTGTATGTGTGTTTGTGTGTGTGTGTGTGTGTGTGTGTGTGTGTGGATGTGTGTGTGTGTGTGTGCGTGTGTGT